TTTTAAAGGTGGTCTTCTGAGCGCTGCCACTCGTAGTGGTATTCCTCTAGCGAATATCAAACGTGCTGCATGCTTTCATTGACCATAGCCCGGCGAATCCATTTTTCTCTTGGGTGATAAACGATAGAAAGCTGTTATAAGCCTCTGTGATTGATCGCCTAATCTACCGACTAATCCATCACTGCGTTAATAGCCGATTATTTTTAAAGTAATTATTCGGTTAAATGTGAACCCTGTAAGCTTGTCCCGTGCAGCATTTCTGATTCTGCCGTGCTTAACCTAGAGAAATAATTCCTGGCGAAGCCTTGTACGCCATTATTACAAGGTGCACAACCGCGAGGTTCTTCTGCTTCTCACCTAAAGAATTTAATACGTTTAACTAAAGCTAAACTATAATTGTTTTTTATCTACTACTTTCTAATCGAAAATATTTCATATTTTATATATTGCAGCCGTTTTGATCGACCCATGCAAGTGTGGGGTACAGTGGACTTTCAAACCATCATTACACATAGCTATCAAAATTATTAGCAAATAAGATTTTTATAGCTAACAATGAACGGCAAAAAAAGCTTGTACAACACATGTTCAAAGAGGTGTACAACACCTATTTCTCTATTGCTCCTTTTGATTCTAGAGTTCCAAGCTGATGCCTTTCCGTGTTGGCAACCTCCGGGTTTAGATTCGGCCTGTGAGAGATTCTAGAAGGTTCAACCAACGCGTTCGCTGGGTCAAGGACATTCCCAGCTGTAGAGTTCGACTGACGCGTTAGCGATAAACGTTGCTATACTGTCATACTGTTTACAGCTGTTTTTTGGATTGCCCATCTGCTTTTGTTGTTATAGGGACATACTAAGGTTAGAATTAAAGGAAGGTTGTCTAAGCTGCGTTGTACATGTTACTCCTGAAATGCAACGAAAAACGGTTACTCGTTACTTGCTAAATAACTAAGTAATTCTTCTTCTTAAAAAGGTAATAAATAGTTTACTCGTTACCAAAAAAAAAAAAAAAAACTACGTAGAGGTGCCTGTTTACTAGTAACTCGTCACGTACTTGTCTGCTCCCATGAGGATAAACACAGTTCGCGTGTTCGGTGCTAGGCTGGTGAGCGCTGCGCTCTTGCTTGTGCATGTCTCTAAACGAGGAGCACGGATATTGCATAGCTCAAAGATGTCACTGTGAGGTCTCGGCGGGTGTCTAATGGCTCGAGGAAGGCATCTAAGGACACTCGTTACGTACGATTACGCCATGTGCTGCCCAAAAAATCACAGAATTCGGCGGCGGCCCCTCTAAGCACTTAATTTATGGCCCTAGTCGGATAAACGACTCGACTGGTTGGACCAGATTCTATCACCAGTCAAATTACGTCGGGTTAACGATACGAGGAACAAGATAGTGTCTGCCAAACGTGTGGCTCGGAGGAACCTAATAAGAGCCATCGAAAAGAGTATAAAATAAATGGATGGCGCCGCTGAGAACGTCGAAATTGTTGCCATGCTCTCGTTTGTCATGTGTCAGTTTCCGCGCGGTTTGTACCTCTGGCCATAAGAACAGCAAGCTTGTAGCAGTAATAGTAACTGTGATGAGAATTTCAATTGGTTGAGGACAGTCGCGGCACCACAGAAAGGCGACAGGCCGTAACATGAAGGCCCGCTGTGCAGTGTCTATATTTCATCTCACCGCAACGTGGTAAAGAGCGGAGCCCCTAACGAGCCAATAAGAGTGACTCGGGAGGACGACGTGACCAACTCCCACCAAACATACAGGGGCAGGAGCGTACCCCAAGTAGTTCAAGAAAAGGGGGAGGGGGAACTCCCCTCTTACCGGGACCCTCTTGTGAGTGTTCCAGACGTCTCTTCCCCCCCCCCCCCCCCCCCCCCTTGGAGATTAGCCTGACACTCAAAGTTCCTACAAAACCAGCGCTCCTTTTTTTTTTTTTGCCTCGCCAGGGGCTTCGACAGCACTGCGCGTAACTAGTGAGGTAGGGCAAAGTCACGTGCCTTCATGGGCCGCGCTTATTGGCTCGCTGGGATTGTTGCCTTAGCCGTTTGCCAAGTCACAGTGGGACGGAGTGTAGTGAAGGGGATGATGCGATCATATACAGAAGATAAGGACAGATTGGTCTTCTGATCATCGCCCACTCTCAAAAAGGTATGTGCGTCTACTTTCGCGCACAACACTCGGAGAGCCAATCCCCGCAACTGACGGAGGAAGCTCAGCGAATGACGATGTCAAAACATCTGTTTAGTCCAAAAAACGGAGTCTGAGTTGTGACATTAAGAAGCAATGCGAAACGTCACGCTTGCATTGCTTAATGTCACAACTCAGACCACGTTTTTTGGTCTGAACTTATGTTTCGACATGGTCATTCGCTGAGCTTCCTCCGTAAGTTGCGCTGATTGGCTCTCCAAGTGTTGTGCGTGAAAGCAGACGAACACACTTTTTTTAGAGTGCGAAAACAAACCGCTGCCAGACTCTGCCAGTACGGATACGAGGGTAAGATTCTACACTGTGAGGGCCACTTCACCCAGAAAATGAGATGAATCTGCAAACGCTCTTTTCTGCATCCTCGTCTTTGCGCATTAAATTGTTTAGCTCCTCAACAAAAAAAAAAATATATATATATATTTATATATATATATATATTAATAATACTTGAAAGACATGATTTAATCTTTGACATCACGGGATCCGTTGCGTGACACAACGAGAAACTGTGCGTGAAAAACAAGTCTTAATTTAGACACGCAATTTGAAAGTTTATGTTCGGGAGCCTAATTTAGGGGGGCAGTTGTCTGCCCCGTCAATACCAGGATTTGTATGTTTTATTTGATTATTTAGGTTTTAGAATTCAGGTGCTTTTTTAATTTATTATTATTTATAGAGCACCTCGTTAATTGAGTACCGTTGTAATGAATGTAATATACGTATTTGTTAGGGCTTATGGAGGGCTCGGGTTTCGCAGAACCTTGTGAGTGTAAAGCCCGCTCAGTTAACTACTCAAGATAAAATCGTGCTGTCGGGTAAAGCTGAAACATCTAAGGAATATAGCGCTACATAAAAAAATATAAAAGCTGATGCTGCCGTGGCAACGTGACCTTATTTAGCCGATACGAAACAATTATGAGTTTGTATTAATCACAGCTTGGAAATACGTGAACAAAATCTGGGTTTTAAGAAATTGTACAAGCGAGCAACGTGAAAACAAAAAAATTCTCTATTTTTTTTTTTTTTTTTTTTATTTGGGAGGGAGGGGGATTTTGCTGGCAGTAGCACTCGTCGTCTTGAGGCTCAATCCACTTCCTCCTCCAAGTGGAGTAATTGCGTCGTGTGTTTGTTTAGACAGCTGGCAGCTGGTCAGCCCCAATTTCGGTGTAGATGAGAATGAGAAAGTAGGCCCTGTTAAGGCGACATTGCATGTTCGTTTGTACATTTCAACCTATCAAGTAGAATTGTTTCTGACATCAAAAAAGATAAATAAAAAAAAGCTCGATTTAATTAAGAACATGGTTTATTTCCTACATATGTTGGTATAGATTTAGGCGGGATAGTTTTATTCACTCTCATACGGCGCCATACCTCTCATCCGGGCATTAAATATATATGGCACATGCCACCACTCGATTTGACTGATGCAGTTCTATTCACTAATTTATTGGCCAGTTCATTAGACGAAGGAACTCGCCACGCGGTTCCTATGTCGCTCCAGGTCACACGTCTTATCTCTTCTAATTTGTAAACAAAGAAAAACGATAGCAAAGAGAGGAAATTGTACTGAAGACCTGTCGGTCCCCCTGTCCTCTTCTTTGAACTCACAGTCACTCACTAACACGCAATGTGCGGCGAAACTTGCAGCTGCGATCTTTTCTTACTTTGGACAAGCGGCAAATGCAAGCCAATTTCTTCGCACCTGATGTGAAATCAAGAGAACACAAAGTCAAATTTGATGCGCAGATGTTACACCAATGACGGGCCCCTTGGCCCATCATTTAGCACTGGGTGAGCCAATTTGGCCTGTAAAAAGCCAGTGCTAATTTGTGGCGATTTTAACTTGCATTACGCAGTAGGGATTATACACGATCAATCGCCAATATGACCGCCATAAAGATTGAAACAGGCACCAGCAGTGATTGAACGATTTTAGTGAGGTGTCATAAGGATTTTGGTTTACTTGTGCTTTTTTTAACTCTCGTTTTTTTTGTTTTTTTTTTTGTGCAACATCACAACACACAACTATTGTCCACTCTACGTTTATGATAGTGCTTACATCAGTAATACTCAAAACAGGTTGATCTCGCGGTACGGTAACGTCGCAGCGGCTAACAGGGTAAGCCTTAACGCAAAACCCGAACTGATAAATACTGAAACAAACGCGACGTTCAAAGTGGAAACACTCTCATGGAGGTATACAAGCGGAACCTTGCAGCGAAGCACAAATTACACTAAGTAGGGTTCTTCCTAATCGCGGACCCCGCTTGGCCAAAGTACGCGCTCGGCATCGGAACGTTCGTGACCGCGGAAACTAAAGTGCGCTCGACAGCGGCGATGGGTCCAAGTTATGGGTACCGCGGCACGTATATATATGCACACGGGACGCTTTATACTTTGCGCACGGATCCCTGCACGCTTCCTTCCGCGCCGCGAGGTGGACCGAAGACAAAAGGCAACCAGCCAATCGAGCCTCAACAAACGGTTTACGTCAGCGCATCTCTCGAACGCACCGACCAATCAGCTGCCGGGGAATGAGATACGTAACCGACGATCCTCGGGCGTCTCAACCAATGAGGCCGCTGGACTGTGATACGACGGTGCGCGTTGCCGGAGCGGGGTATGCTCACGCGTGCTTTGGCTCCGCTGCACGGTCAGGTGTGGCCGAACGTGTAGCGACGGTTGCTCTATAGCGTAAACGGAAGCACTAAATCAAGACTGGGGCGCGAGGGTGCAATTAAGCGGAGGCTATCGGCTCGGGTGTGCATAGCACGCAGCGCGATGCGCCGCACTGACCTCCCCCTCCCCGTTTTCTTTCTCTCTGGGCGTGACGATATTGTGACGTCAGAGTAATTGGAGTAGCCAAGAGTTTGCGATAAGAGACTCTCGTTGCGGCAGCGCGGCTTAGGGTGTGCGGAGGTAAATGATGGCGGCAAAACGCTTTCTGTGAGTCTTCTTGTCTTGTATTTATTTGACTGATAATTTGTTACTTTTGCGACGCGTTCGAATCAATCATACTTGCGAAGGAGTCCCTTTGCTGCCATGTTTTGCTTGGAGGGAGTGGCATGGTCTTTCGAACGCACCGATCCTCAGTCGTTGACGGTGTAGCTATGGAGCACAAGGTGCGAGAAATATTTCATCCATATGAAAGCGCTTGTACGACGAGGAACTTACCTGTGGCAAGAAGGTTTTGAGATTGTACGCGCACAACCAAGCGTTATTGGTGTTTTTAGTATAGTCAATCGCAGCTTAATAAACGCGGGGCGAGTGTGTGTGTGTGTTTATGTGTTGGGGGGGGGGGGGGGGGGGCGCTTATCATATGTTCATGCTTCTGGCTTTGTGGTTCAGTGTTCTGATCGGTATAATGCCATAATTTCATTGGTTGCGAAGTTGTATTAAAATACCACTCCACAGCCAATGAAATTACCGAATTATACATTAAGCATTCTATATTTAAGAAACGTAGGGTGCAGGAAGCAAGTTCTGAGCATATCACAGATGCTCGGAACTTGCTTCACCCAGTTTTTCTTGAACTGTCAGTAACCATAGCAGACATAATTTCGAGGCAGACTAATTCTGAGCTGTCGAAAAAAAATATCCGTACAAAACTATTTTAAATTTACCGCGGTTAAAACTGGTTTCGATATTAATCTTCAGTAAGCAATACGCCTCGGTCGGACAATTTATAAAGCCGCGGCGACCCTACTCTAGTGGCATCACACAAAAATACACGGATGCTCTCTGCAGATATATGATCAGAAAATTATCTGCGAAAACACCTCCAGCACCTTCGAACAAGATTTGCTGAATACATATGTGTAGAGTTGGAACGTGTCTGCAAACACGGTTTGTATGGCCAATGTGACCTTCATACAAGGAACAAACAAGTCCCAGACAGCATCCGAGGATTGTCTTTTGTATGACATATGATCAGTGCGGCCGCGGCTTTACTCACGGCTGTATTGTTCGTCGAAATGGCGGGTTTGCAGTCTGCCGGAAGCGCTTCTCCGCATGCAGAATCTTGCCACGGCGCACATTAGGACAAATTCGTTATGAGCCAAACTAACGCTGAAGGAGATCGCCAGTGTCGTGCTTTTAATAGGCCCATTTGGTCTTGATAACATGGTTCCAAGAACTCCAGACTGTCGGGACTGTTAAGGTTATATCGAGCGATAAGTCACGCCTCCCCTATTGTCCGTGGTGGCAGACCTCTTTGGTTTTGGGACTTCATCTTCATTATGCGCTGTTTTGAAGACGAGTGACTCGGACCAGGAAAAGAAAGCCCTCCTCGATCATTTTCTAAGAAAAGGTGCCACGCGAGCTGACTGAAATGAAATAAAACGAAAATTACAACCTTGCAGAAAGCCGTTGGGAAGCCTATGCTTCCTTCTCTCTTGGATTTCTTACTGGTACACTTAGGTGCTCGGTGTTTATGAATTTTCGTTAAGCGCACGCCAAGTCGATGCACTCTGAGAACATGCCGCGGGTAACGATTTTGCCTCTAACGCGTTTCCGACGGCTGTGTTTACCACATCCTCAAAGGTGGTCCGTCCGTTTCCGGCTGCTGATGACGTCATAAAAGCGTCATGCTACTGCCCGCCGCGACCCTGGTGGTAACACAGCAGCAGAACGGAGTGCGACAGACGCCTCTTCCACTACACGCAGGTCACTCTCCGGCATGAGTCGACGGAAGACTCGGCAGTCAGAAAGAAGGTAGGTCGGCGTAACTCGCATTTTCACGTACTTTTCTTAAAGCAGTAGCTGTTAGTAAAACTTCCCGAAAAATACTCTCACGTACCAACGCAAAAATCCACCCTACAGCAGAGGCTCCGCTCTCCCTCTCCTTGTCGTTCCTCACACACGGCAAGGCTCACACGACACGCTGGATTTCGTGACGTCATTTGTTGCCACCTCATGACCGATTTTGATATACGGGTGGTACAGAACGATAAGAGCAGGAAATGCCGACGGAGGGGCCGGGACGCTTGCGGGGCGATCAACGTTTTCGTCGCAACCTCGCAGCTCGTACAGCAAAAATGAGACTCGTAAACCACGTGACCGCGATCCAGCAGTTGTAAACACTCTGAAATATAGGCACACTAGATCGAGGCACGCCGCTCGCTCCAGTCAATACCACTTGGAAGACAAGGCCTGACCATGACGTAATCACTAGTGGATCCCGACTCACCCCAAGACGACAGTCGCTGCAAAAGTGGCCGACGCGTTCGTGTTGGCGTCGCCGCCTGCTAACGTATCGCGCGGTTTGTGAAACGCTGCAAAACGCGCTGGCGGCCATTATGACGCAAGATAACCGACGCTGCTTGTATCATGACGATTGAGGGCGGGGGGCAAGTTTTGTCTCCTACATGGCATTGCTCAGTGGCTTTGACAGCGTTGCACGCTCTGCATGATTATGAAACGAAGTTCAAACCGGACTTGCGCTCAAGCGCTAGAGAGCAACTATCACGCGATGGTTTTGAAAGAAGCCTGGAGAAAGTGCGATAGGTGGTATCCTTTTTGCAAGAGCACGATCTCTCTGCGGAGCACGCCAAAGAGCGACAAGATGGCCGCTGCAAAGCTTGCAGGCAACCGTGTTCGCCACACGAAACGCAGACGACAGCTGGGCTCGCGTAATAACTGGAAAGGGAAGTGGTAGTTTTTACGAAACTCGGGACGAGGGGAAGAAGATGGATACGTTTGTGCTCGTTGCTGCGTAATAAGCGGTACAAAGCGGAGCTAAATAAAAAGAAAGAAGAAAGAATACAACCGCTAACTTGATCATTCTGACAATGATGGGGGCACGTAATGTATTGTGAACGAGCCGTGCTCACGTTACGTGCGCTTGACGTCACGTGACGTCACACGACGTCATGGTGCCACTTGATGCCACGAGGTCACATGATATCGTGACGTCACGGGACTGTGACTTTGCGATGCCGCATGACGTCACGTGAAGTCGAAGTGTCACATAACGGGAAATTGTCACGTGACATCATGGAGTCATAATGTCACAGTGTTTCGTCACGGTTCTCGTGTCGGTTTTCTGATACAATAGGCAGACCCCTTTCACAAATGGAACCCCCGACGGTGGGCCTTTCGTCAATTTCGACTCGCACAGCACAATACACATCAACACGCAAAAAAGGAACATTGCGACATGTATCGCAAGAGGCACACATCCATACATGGCGTGTACTGACGTCACATCGGTGGCCGTTGTGGTCGCCCTGCGGTTGAACGCGTACCCTTTCAGCACAGACTTCACACCGCAAGAATTTTTTTTTTTCGGCGAGAACTGGTAGGAATGTTTACCAGCACCGTGGGACGATGTCAAGTGCTATGCATGCATTGATGTGCCTAGACCCGCTAAATACATTGGGTTAATATAATAAGCTACACTCTAAAAAACGCCCGTGCGTCTACTTTCCCGCACAACACTCGGAGAGCCAGTCAGCGCAACTTACGGAGGCAGCTCAGCGAATGACGATGGCGAAACATATGTTTAGAACAAAAAACGCAGTCTGAGTTGTGACATTAAGCAATGCAAAACGTCACGCTTGCATTGCTTAATGTCACAACTAAGACTGCGTTTTTTGGTCTAAACGTATGTTTCGGCATCGTCGTTCGCTGAGCTGCCTCCGTAAGTTGCGGTGACTGGCTCTCCGAGTGTTGTGCGGGAAAGTAGACGCACGGGCTTTTTTAGGAGTGTAGAGGGGAAGGAATCGTGCATTCGGGCCTCTTCGGAACGGCGGGGCACAGACGCGGCCATCGGCGCTTCCAGTTATTGGTAAAGCGATCGGCACATATCGCGACGCCTTAATGTGTGCAAAGAAGCAGCAAGAACACATCACCCGTAAGGTCTGTACCTCGTTCGTTTCTAGCTTACTTCGCGGGAAAACACCACAGCCACGCATTGTGTGAGACTAAATAAAGTTGACATGCGGTCGGGCAACTTCAACTCGTCGCGGCAAAACGAGCACGCCTATCTTTTCGTCTGCTTCCTTTCATCGCTGCACTGTCGCTCTCTTTCTCGTTCTTTTTTCCCGGACCGCCACAGTCAACATCGAGGATTTGGAGCTCTCTTTACTCCCCAAACTAAATAAGAGCTTCGTTCGATATACCTGCACCGGTGCAGAAACGTGAAGGGCAGTGTACTTCCGATACCTGTACTGAGATGCGACCAGAAGTACGTACACCACACTACACTTTTCTGAACCGGTGCAGAGAGCGCAGGTAAATCGAACGAGCCTAATTTATGCTACGGAAGGACGACACTTTGGATACTGAGGGCCGTGACCTTCATAACGGGTGGTAGCTTGCGCCACCTAGCCTACAAACCGAAAGACTGCAAGCACCCTTTTGGTTCTTACATTTAGTGTTGCAGGTTGTCTCAAGCTTTTTCTAAAATTGCAGGAGACGGTTGTCTGTTCTTCAGAGGTCCTAAAACAGTTCGCGACAGAGCAAAACAGTACCGCGTGAGCATCCTAAAAGTTTTTTTACACCAATTGTGCATGCCCTATACATAAAAATCAAAATGGCGGCGCCCGTTAGACGGTGTTATGGGGTGTCGACGGCAGAATAATTCGGTCACATACTTGAAAAGATAGAAATGATACGAGGGTTAATGAAACTCGCACGCGGGTGATCATTTAATCTTGCGCCCCGATACAGCGCCCAAGTGCGAAAGCGAGTTACAGCGCAAATGTCTCTCTCGAAGTGAAATATTTTTGCCACAGTTGGGCCCCACCGCGGGACAATCAATACCGAAGTCAACTCGTCTGAATCTAGTCTGGGCCAAACGAGAAAATATTCGCGCG